CATAAACAGAGGAAACTGGCTTAAAACAGTTAAATTTTAAGTTAAATGGCTTATCCAAAACCATTTGCCTAGTAAATGGTGCAGTTCAAACTAACAACTGGTAGCATTATTTAATTTGAATATTTTAAATACTTAAATATTTATTTATTGAAACATTTTCCCATTCTGTAATTTAGCCTCTTGAATCCATTCTTTCTCCACACAATAAGTAGTCAGAATGATCTTTGTAAAATCTTAATCCGATCATGTCATTCACTCACTTAAACCTTGATAATGAGTTACCATTTTACTTAGGATGCAATCCCAAATCCCAAATGTGATGTTCATGGCCTTCCATGGTCCAGCTCTTGTTCCTTTCTACCTAAATCATATGCCCATCCCTTCCGCTCCCTCACCACATCAGGCTTCTTTTCTTTCTTCCTCCATGTGACGGCAGGCTTCCCACTTGCTGCTGTTCCCCTAGAATGCTGATTTCCTCCCTTCACCTGGTAACACCTAGACACCACGGAGGTCTCAGTTTAAATGTCACTTCCTCAGAGAAGCCTTTCTCTGTTCCACCAAACACAGTCAGTTCCTCTTGCTGTCATCTTTTAGCAAACCCTCAATAGCCTTCAGTTTATACTGAAGTGTTCATCTGTGCGATGGTTTGTTGAACACCTGCCCTCTCCACTAGTGCCTGAGTCCAGTGAGGTTAGGAACCATGCCCATTGGCTCATTGCTAGTCTCTAGCCCTAATCCAGTTTTTGGCCCATAGTAGCTGTTCAGTAAGCATTTGTGGACTGAAGGAATAGAGAAATTCATCATGGTGGTACATTGCTCCTTTACCAAGCATAGTTGTCTATTAACAGAATAATAAGAATTTATGTATTTTTTCTCCATTTCTTGGGAAAATGCATATAGAAATTAACTTTTGATACTTGAATAATTTAAGCAAGTCTTAGAAAATTGTCAGGAACAGAGTTAAAAAAAATAGATTACCCAGGGAGAATGTAGAGTGTCCTTCCCTTGAGTTTTAATCAGAGGACAGCTCAGTTAAGTTGGTAGTAGTGTAAGCTATGTTGCTAAGTGAAGGATATGAGGTATTATAGAGAAGATCATTCTGTAGAACGAAAACCTGGATTTAACTTACCTTTCTTTTGGTTTGTATGTTTGCTTCTTTATCTAGAGCTCAATTCCTTGCTTACGCCCAAACAGGAAGAGTAATTTTGAATTCTACTCTTCATTCTGAGTAGAATGAGTACTGATGTACAATCACCTTTGTTCCTAAAAATCATGGCACTCTGCAGAACCACACAATAGAAACCGCAGGGCTTACAGCTTATAGAAATGGGCCTGGGGGCACAGTACTCAAAACTTCATCAGTGACATTCAAAAGAAAAGATGGGAAACTAATAAAAATGGTAGCTAAGATTTACGTGTATTAAATGATTAAGAAATATATAAATGCTGTAATAAATATAGCATTGAAAAAGGCCTGTGGTTTCCTATGGAAGTGGATCTCAAAAGAGGTACAGCTGGTAAGTTACAGGGCCGTATAGAAGGAGTGCTATCTGAAATGGGAGGGAAGGTTATAACACCCGGTGTGGTGGACGCGTCTCCTCCTGCTCACGGTGGGTGGAGGTGTATCTGAAAGGTGTGTGTTTTGTGTGTTTCTTTGTGGCTTGATTCAGCTGGATGTGGTTTTCTGTGTTCACCTAAGTTTTCTCATGAATAAGATTTGTCTCACACTAAAATTCTTTTATAATAGATCATTTGTGTTGGAACAGATTTGCCCTTTTAAAATAAATGTCATAGCAGAACTGATAGTCGTAGGGAAAAAGGTAAGGGTCAGGAAAATTTAGCTCTGGTTCTGAGCTGCCGTTTCTAACAAGCAGGCTCCCTCCCTCCCTTTCCTCCTCTCACTTTATCTTTAAACCGAGGTGATAATAAACAACATTGGCCATTTCTGAGATACCGTAATGAAGGTGGAAACATGTAAAATGCTCTCCGCATTCAAGATGTCTCTTGCACAGCTCGCTTATTTTAGAGTTAGAGATAGCAGTTCAAGAAGGACATCAAGTTGAGAGGTAACTCATAGCTTTTGTACAAAGCTACCTTTTGACTAAAAGCAACACTCATGTCTATAAAGAGAAATAAGAGGAGGCGATTGGCCAGATTTCCTGTGGACATGTGTGTAATTTCACTTCTTGGAGTCAGCCCTTGGGCCTTGTTGACGTTCCTGGTGTAGTGGTCTGAATGCAAAGATAAGAGAAGCCCCTGAGCAGAAAGGGAAGAGATGACCTTGCTTCATAAAGGTGGGAGGAAAAGAAAGGTGGGTGGTGGCCAAGGAATTTTGAAAAACACTGTGACAGCTCTCCTAAGATGCCTTTTAAAGCCAGCCCAGCCCAGTGGTTCTATGGAAAAAGAGAGGTGGCTGTAGAAATTTGGTCTTGTCTGATTTGTAACCTGGTTTCCTATGACACTTTCTTTTACTTAGTCTCCAGCCATCTTCCATGTCTCATTTCTATTTGCTCTCGCTGCTAGGAAAAATCCAGAGCAAATCTATAGGAGCAAAATCAGAATCACTTTAGGGACAAAGTAATTTATACCCAGGATATAACTAAAACAAAAAAATTGTCTAATCTATATAGTAGCACCTCTTTCTACTTTTAGCCATGTTTTTTAAATTTGGGTAAAAAATGTTCCCACATTTGGAAAATAGGTGTGAATTACTGTCAAGTTTTAAGATTTAATTAAAATATTCACCATATGAAGGGAATATATTTTAGTAAACAACTTTTGCCCTCATAATCTTAATTCCATAGAACTTTCTCTGTATTATGAGGATGCATTTTTAGTGCATTTTTTTCCACGTTTGAAAAGATGTCTTCAAATTGAAGAGTAAGGTTTATTCATGTGAAAAAGGTTCTCCTATGAGGTTTGGGAGGTGTTTTTAATGTAGCAGTGAGTGAATCTATATAACATTCTTTACTTTTGAACAGAGGAGGGATGCTGTCTTCTCTGCAGAACTTTGCCTGGTTCATAGCACGTACTTATGAGCTATACGTGTATAGCCTGTGCTTTTTTTTTTGGTCTGTTTCTGGAATCAAAGTTCGATTTTCCAAATTCTGTAACATAGGTGACTTGTATCTGTTCCTTCTACTCCAATGAGTTTATACAAAGAGGAATTTTGATTATGTGTAATGACTAAGCAATGAGGCTTTTTAAAATTGTAGTAAAATATATATAATATAAAATTTGACATTTTAATCATTTCTACAGGGTTGGTTTTAATTAGCACATTTTTATTCCACAACCACTTTTTTCTTTCTTTTCAAAGCTTCTAGGATGTCCCTTTCCAAGTATAATAACAGATTAAAGAATTGATTTTGATTGTTCTGATTTCACTGAAAATGCATCATCGGAGAGTTAGGCCTCATTTAGCAAAAGGCCAGCTCTATAATCACTAAGCATAAACAATAGAACCTCCATAGCTGGCCACCTTCCTACACTGAGCACCTCCTTCAGTTGACCTAATTTTCATAGACTGGACATGCGCTTACATGTACATATCAGTATAGTAGACCTAGTTCCTTAGGTTGACCTCTGTATATGACCAGTTTGTTACAGTCCTTTGGGCGATCAACTTATAGAGGTTCTGCTGTATATTTCCAATACCACTGTGTATTAGGTAATGTGCTAAAAATACAGAAATACATTTGTATGTAAGACATAGTCTTAATCTTGAATAGATATTTATTCATTAGAGACCTATGATAAATACATGTGAAAAATAGCAGTAGGAAAAAGTGAGGACCTAAAGGGCAGTAAAGACAGTAGGTGCTATTGGAACTCAGGGGAGAGAGAGAATGATGAGGTGAGGAGGGCTAAGTTCTAGAGGACCTGTCTTAAAGCCGAGCCTGGGAAGAACTCAGAGAGCTTTTTGTGCAAGAGCAAGAGAATGGTCAAAGGTGCAGAGGCAGCGGAATGCGTAAGTGTTTTTAGAGGATTCAGATTCACTTCTAGATTATTGTCTAATGTTTCCTTTGTGGTCCTCAGGATTCCTTTTCCTCCCCTTGAGTTAGAGATGGAGACAATTTATCTTTCCTGTGTCTTCCTGTGAATATCCCCCATGCCGATTCAAGATGGGGCCTTGCTTCTCTTACCGCTTATGAATGTCTGACCTTCGTGATCAGGCATTGCGTCTTTGGTTTTCACTGTAAAATATACAACCTACATTCACAGTGCTTAATTTAGTAACTGGCATCCTTTAAAAAAAAAAGGCAATAGCAATAACAAAACAGAAACGATATTAGTATAGCTGAGTCAGTATTACCAAGAGGATCTGAGCAGTGCGCTTTTCACCAGTTCCAGGAATGAGTTTGTGCTGCCCCATCTGTTCTGGGTGATCTGTCCCTCTTTCAATCTCTGATGCCTAGTCGTGAGAGGAGGTGATTTTCTAGGATTATAAAAACAGTGGTTTGGCCTATTTTTATCTCTGAAAACCTACCTGAACAAAATGAGAACAAATTCCTCAGCCTTATTCTCATCATCGCCATGGTCTAATTAACTTGAAATTCTTGACTCCTCTATGAAAGCAGTAATGTTCCCTTTAAAGCATGCATCAGAGGCGGAAGACAGGAACTGATTCTGAACAGGTATTAATGATCTTGCTATTATCTGACTTACTGAGCTGTTGATAGTATCTTTGGGTCAGAGTTCTTCACAGGAAGCCACCTGGGTTAGTTGAAATTATTCAAGTATTAGAATCAAGTCAACCAGGCCTCTGAATAAGTTATCCTATGGTTTATATGACCTTACACAAATTAATTAGATGTCTCTGAATCTTGGTTTCCTTTCCTATGATGAGAGCTTAATAAATGATATACCTCAAGGTGTTGTTATAAAAATAAAATAAACATACATAAAGCTCAAGTTAGCACTTGGTAACACACGGCTATTACTTTTTCTTTTGGTCATAAACACCTTCGTAAAAGTCATTCTCTTTATGCCTCTCGTAGCATGAGAAGCTGATACATGAACTGGAAGAGGAGAGACACTTACGTCTTCAAAGTGAGAAGAGGTTGCAGGAGGTGACCCTGGAGTCTGAGCGCACCAGGATTCAGATGCGGGGCCTGCAGCAGCAGTTCTCCAGGTACGCAGGTTCTTAACTGAGCATCCTCCTCCCTGAAGTGCATCCCTCCTGCACTTCCATTGTGTGAGCTTCTGCTGAGTTTGACAAACTAATTTCTCACCAGTTTATACTTTCTATTCTAGGCAAGCTATCCTATTGCATTTGGACCGGGCTTCTGAAACTTTGTGTTTACACCTGACATGGACTGGGCTTGATTAAAGCCGGTTGTCTTTTCTTTCCTCTTGGCTTCCCAAGGGGTCTTTCAGTGAATTGTGGTGGCTTTGTGGCCTGTAGGTCTGTCCTGTGAAAGGCCAGCCAGGAGGATGAGATTACACTGATCATTACAATCCTGTTTTAAGGCAGAATGTGAATCTAATCATCCAGTAACCTCTTACTCTACTCAGAGGAAACATTTAGGACTAGCAAAGAAAAAGAAGAAAGTCATTGAGTTCCTTTCCTTCAAAAAGATATCACTACAATTTAAAAGGAATGGTTCTGAATAAGCAACTCTTCTTAGATTTAATTCCAGCAAAGTCAGAGGCTTTTCAGCTTCCATTTGTAGTTAATATAGAGCCAGGTGACAGTTCAACCTATTATGTTAAAGTCTGTTCAGTTCCATGGTCGGGTGGGGAGGGATGAACCACACAAACTTGGGCTCCATTTAGTTCTGGAGCCAAATACAGACCCTCTGTGGGGACAGTCTGCTCTCATTTCATGTCACCATTTGTAAAATCAAGAAAATAATTTTTTCCCTTTTCTCTTGTGAGATTATGCCAAGTACTATCCTGTTTGAGAAGTTGCCCTAAAAATCTTTGTCAGCAAACTTGTCTTTTTTATTTTATTTGTATTTGATAACTATATGACCTGTGATGGATAATACGGCTTCCACATCATGAGACTTTTATGCTATATTAGCTATAGTTTTAGATGAGTTGCAGGGACAGGCCAGAGAACAGCCTCCAGATTATTCCATGTACCTCATTGTGGCTAAGAGCATGAATGCTTACAACTTTGCTTTAGGGGTATCCTAGAGGAACGGGGCAGGAATGATGGATGACTCCTGTGGCCTCAGCACCATAATTTAACACCCTTTTCAACTCTTCCAGTCCCTGATAATACACAGGTGCTATAGAAATGCACCAGTCAATACTTTAGCAAATGCTTGTCCCACCCCTCATAGGCTATTACTTATACCACCCTCTGCTCAATTTTTCATTCATTCTGATGGTGACTCTCACTTTATATCTTTCAACCAATTTGAAATAATAGGTCCCCCTCAAAGTGACTTTAAAACAGGCATTGCTTTGTAATACTTGCTGTTTTAATGATATAGGAAAGTGGGAGCATATCTTGCTCTCCTGGCACTAATTGTGATGTCTCTATATTCAAGCTATTGATTTACACGGCACGAGGCACATGGCATAGTAAATTATTTTCATATGATGACAGGTCATCTGCTATAAATCAAATGACAATCCCATATAGTTTTGAGTTACTCAAGAGCCAGGACTACATCCTAGGCTGAAAGAGAAGATAATTATATGTATAATAAGTGGTGGTTGGTTTTTATATACGGCTTTTGTGAGGGCTTTTTTTCCATTTTAATCAGTTTTCTTATGTAAGGCTTCATTGAAACTGAAAAGTTCAAGTCCAATTACAGCCATACAACTAATGTAAATCAGCAAAAGATGGGATAAAACATATATCACCGATAATTACACAATAATTGAAATAGGCCCAGTGAACCATTTCTGATGGCCTTTCACAGATTAAACTTTGGTTTATAAGATATTTAGGTATTTCTAGTTATACTTTAAAAATCCTCTTAATTTATATCTTTGTAAAATTCTTAATATTAGAGAATATGCTTAGAATGTGTCACCCTTGGACATGGTCAACATCCGAAATGGTCATATAAATAACTTTACAATATAAATTATTATGTTGAATTACAAACTTTTATATTCACATTTTTTTCATTTTTTGTCCTCAGGGGTTGTTAAGTTTATTTTTGTACGTGATGAGATCTGGGATGTGGAATTACTTTCAGCATTGTTCATGGGCTCAGTTTACTTTTTGAAATTAAGCTAATATGCTTTCTCAAAGAATATGGATATGGTAAAAGGGAGATTTACAATAATGCTAATAAAATAAAAACAGAAAATAAAGGCCTTTAAAGGAGAATGTGACAAGTAATAATAGTCATATAGCCCAACAAGTTTTCTCAGAATGAGCATTTAATTTAGCTGTAAGATTCCTGGCAGACAAGATAAAAAAGAAAATGCAAGAGGAAATATGATAATTTTCTTATAGTCAAAGGCTACTCCTCTTAAAGAGAGGAATATTATCTCTGCTAATAAATCATAATAGAATATATCACATAGGCCTCTTCATAGAAGACTTTGTAGGATATGTATACAGCAGACAGTGGCCCAAGATAGTACAAATCAGGATTAAATATTGTAAGTGCTACTACTTCTACTATGACACTTATGTCTGCAGCCAGTTTTTAAATTTTATAACATATGAAATAGGAATGCTGGGTCTATATCTAAGAGTTCACAAGTATAATAAGAAATACTCCAGTACTCAAAGTTCTGAAGTCAACCATTATAGTGAAAACTCATGGGAACATCCAGACACATGCATGTGCCTTTCCAATAGCTTTTTTTAATGAATCAGGAAAACAGGCACAAGATGCTGACGCCTGTCTGGGTTGGGTAACATGTAGTCTTGGTATGTTTGCTGGCCTTGTAGACAGGGGACCCTCTAAACCAGGGATTGTCACACGGATGTGCTGCAAAAATTTCTAATGATCATTAATCAAATTATTTTCTAAAGAAGTTCAAAACACAGTAAATACATTATCTTTTTTTTTTTACTCTTTTTTGGTGTTTGATCCACATAATTTAAGCGTGCTGTAGAAGTTTAACTATAGGTTCAAGTGTGCCGTGAGATAAAAAAGGTTGAAAAAACACTGCTGTAAACAATAGTAAAGGGACGTTGAATCTCAGCTTTAGGAACAAGGTGAGGCAATGTATGGGGAAGTGAGTAATGAAATTAGATGCTGAGATGCTCACCTGTGCGTGCAGCATTCCGGTGCCGTGGGGAATGAGACAGGAGAAGTAGTGTGGGGCTCAGTTTTATGTACTGTCCGCTGTGTGATGGGCCTGATGGCTTGAAGGCACCACACAAACTTGGACATTCAGAATTATCTCCATTAATGAGTAATGGGATCACTTAGGTGATAAAAATCTATAAAAATGTTTGAATGAGTAGTTATTTTTTATGTCACCACCAGACCTTCAGCTACAATCCCTTTCTCCCACTTGACCTCTGATGAGGGTATAATGATCAGCAATGGTCCGAAGTTTGGGCCATAAAAAGAAATGGATGTGCAGCCAGAGGTTACACAATCAGCTCCATGCTCATAAATCAGAAACTGCCTGCATTGAGGGTGATTCAGACAGGCAGAACAAACTTGGTTTGGACCATGTCCCGTCTCTCATGTAAATACAGAAAATAGAAAACCCAGATACTTTAAAAACAATTAAGCCTTCTTCACAGTTGAGGGAACACTTCTGCAAGGTCAAACTTCAAGGCAAGTGGTGGTATTTTAGGGCTGCCTCTTTTTTGTCTCATTATTTGGTGAAATAAATCAGAGATGCTTTCTAGATGTGATAATAATTGTCGAACCTATTGTCTGGGTGGTATACATGGCTGGGCATATCTGATGAGACATTAGCTTTGTAACCATTTAGAATTCTGTAACTGCCCGCATCCTCCCCACTCTATACCAGCTTGTTTGAATTGTGTCTGTCCAGCTGGCCGAGGGTAATGGTGTGGACTGAGGCTATAGCACTGCCTGCCCTTGTATATAAAGGCAATTAGTGCTTTTGATATTCCAGGTTAATGAGGTGTTTGTTCATCATTTAGATTTACGTGGAGGAACACTTTCAGGAACTTTTGTTTCTAAGTGGGGTGGGCTATGTCAAGTTGGAATAATAGGCTTGTGTGAAGAGATAAGCAACCCTGTAAAGAGAATACTGAGTTCATATATGTGATTGTGCACACCATATATGATGTGTGTGTATTTGAGTCGGTCCCTTTGGAAACAATCTAATCAGGTCATAGATTATTACTGAAAGCTGCTGTTCTTATCAGAAAACAACCACTTTTATTGTATGCCTAATAAGAATACAGTATGTGTCCTCAAAAATGTAAAATTCAGTTAGAGAAGTCTTATGTACATATATGAACAAAACAACATATTCCTAGTATTGCTATAAATGAAGAGGACTTTTGTCTAAATTCAGAATAGCCAGACTTTATACTTGTTAATGGTTTGTCATGCTGAGGCATGAATAGTCAGATGGAATTAGTGATTGCATAGTGATAACAATAATATAAATTTTTTTATATTATTATTGTGTATGCTCTATGCTGCAATATGTTTGAAGCTTTAAATTTGAATCCATCTGGCAAGTTCACTACCTGGTGGACTATTTTGTAAACTCTCTACAGTATCCAACTGTATCTCACACCCAAAGTATCAGGAATCAGGATACTTGATTCTGATTTATTCAGCTTCGAACTTTTCCATATGTGTTCATAGCAGGTGTTACACATATAAAAAACAAAAAGGGAATAGTTAAGCTATATCATTCATAATGGACCAGGACAGTTAAAAAAAAAAAATCACCCAAATGGAGTTCAGGCTTTCACTCCCTCCCTTCTGCATTTTTCTGCACCTGTTCTGACCCCCCCTCCCCTCATTGCAGTGGTCTGCTGCCTTGAAGCTATTTCTTCGCTTACTGTAATGGGGATGCTCCTATCACAGTTGATTGCTGTGCTTAAGTGCAGTCTGCCAGTGTGCTGAACTTGAAGGAGTGGTAAATGGAGCTGGTTTTACCTCTTAATTCCTTCATTGGTTGCTTTTCACATTATCGACTCTCAGAGACTTTATGGAATCCTAAGGTTCATTTTCTGCTATCCATTTGGAAGCTATAGGCACCTGGCAT